GATTGACTAATATTAGATCATTTATTGTTTGTGTGTGTGTGTTTGTGTGTAGTGATACAGTGAGTCGTTCAGGAGTTTATTGCTCGGTGAGTATTGCTCTAGAACAGTGTAAGGCAGAAGGTGTAGTAGATGTGTTTCAAGTGACTAAAGCTATAAGAAGGACTAAACCAGGAGCTGTCACTACACTGGTATAGCTATACTACATATTACTGTGCATTAATAGTATTATTTTTTACAGGAGCAGTATACCTCCATATATGATGTGATTGATATGTACTTCAAACTGCACAGCACATATGCTAACTTTCAGTAGATATAGCAGACTATAATTGTCTATAATCTACCATGATTGCTGACATTAGAAACGTATTTGTAGAAATTATTGTTATCATATGTTATGTTTGCAGTATTTGTATATGCCAAATAGTTAACAGTTGCTTTTGTAAGTTTATATGTCAACAATGAAGATATTCTTAAAAATTCAAGATGGGGTATGGCTGATGTGTACTAGGTCTGTACTGTAATAGTGAGTGCAGGCACCAGTAAACACAAATAATTTAAAATATCTACTTACATGTATTATGCTTACTTGTGATTGTACTTATCAGAAATGTATATGTGTATACTAGTATGTATTTTCAATGTGACATGACCAATGGTAATGAGGAAGATTTTGGTGTACTTTATGTGTAAGCAATTCCTAAAGTACACACGTCTTGCTAACAATAGCAGTATTGCTATAATTATTAATGAATTAAGCCATTACTTACATGCATGTTAGCTTGATTTGATCTTTTTGATAATGTATTGTATTATTTGGTTACTTTAATTGATTGAGCATTGGGGAGTTTTAATCCATGAATTGTGTAAGTTATACCAGTTATGAGTTTGCATCACATTCACATCATGCATGCATTTTGAATAGATCACCACACTGTCCATATCATATTTTGGAGTTATCATAATAGCATTGCACTCAACCGAATTGATGTGCTTTATTAGTGAAATAGTAAAATAAATAGAAACATGCATGATAGATTGAGATATATTGGCAATATGCTTGTCTTCACTTACCATTTAGTTGTAGCCATCGTCATTATATGCTACCTGTTTGTCACATGATGTGTTTAATTTACTTTCCTTTTGTGTAACCATGTCTTGTTTTTATAACACACTTATTATATATTTATTTTTCTTATGTAATATTTACTTTGTTAATGGGCTATCGATGATTGTTTTCTTTTCATTTTAGTAGACAGAGAAACAATAATATTTTCATTGTTTAGCTTTAGACAAGATGGCACTGTCAGTGCTAGTGATTGTATTCTTGTTGAGTATCAGTGAAGTTATTAGTCAATGTCCACCTTCCTCA